GTAGAAAGTTGAAATCTCCTAAAAGGTTATGATTCGTGGACTATCTGTTTGCTGTGGAAATGGAATACAGTTAAAGAAGATGTTGGCAATTTCAAACCCATTGACATAAATGAACAAAATTTGGTAATATAAATTAATGACTTGCATGCTTTTTCTTTACCCTGACTCATTCCTTACTGGTAGGATCCATCTTTTCAGTATTTGGTTCTGGTTCAATGAATGAGCCAGAAAAGTAACTTTGTAGTATCAGAATGTCATCCAACTGTATATTTACTTTATTGTAAATAATGGTGAACAGTGGTCAATAAATAGTTTTATATTCCTTTATGTGACGACTTTGTCATTGTCTGGTTTGCTCTGTAATGAGGGTGGAAACACCTTTACTGTTTTTGAGATTAGGGCCCTCCTTGAACAGGCATCCTCTCTCAGCCTGTACTTCTGGTTTGTTATTTTGAGGCTTAAATTTCTGGTATTCTTGCTTTTACCTCATGAATGCTGGGGATCACAGATATATTATCACCACACATTTATATGCACATGTATTATTTATTTGCAATCAGTATGGCCTGGGTAGTCCTAACATTGACTGTCTACACAATGGACAGGCTAATAGTCCTTTGGCTTAATGAAGCTGGAGGACTCGGCCAAGCCATCCCAGCCTGGTGCTGAAGGGAGTCAATTCAGTACATATTGGGTGCCCAAGGAGCTAGAGGGTGACAGTAGCTGCAGGGGTACACTGACTAAGCCTGGAGCAAAGGTGGACATATAATACTGCTTTTTCCTTGGACCTCTTAAGATTTTATGGGACCATGAGTGCCAGTTCCTTTGGAGGACAGAGGCCTTGTATCCTCTAGAGTTACAAGCAGGCAATTATGAGCTGCCTGGAGTAAAAGTTGGGAACTGAAATCAGGTTCTCTGGAGGAACAGAAAATCACCTACCACTGACCCCTCTCTCCAGCCTACCTTGGACCACTGGGTTACTGTTGGAAAGGCTGCCCACTCAGTTAATCCTTTGTGCAAATACCCACATAAACCTGTTGGGAATCTCTGCTCCTGTTTTCCCCCTGGGTTGCCATGGAGTTGCTTTGCTCTTTATTAAACCTGGTCTTATTAATTTGGCTCGATTTGGCTTACTGCATTGGCAGAGAAACCCACAACTGGAGATTCAAAAATACCTAATTAAAACCCACACAGAAACATCTATTGATTCCAATCCCATTAAGTTGACCTTTAACTTTTATACCTTTTCATCATTTCAGGGCCTTAACTAGGCACTGGGTAGTGCTTGTTGAAATGCCCAGAGTAGTAGATTTAATAGCCATCCTCCTCCCCCAACCCCACCCCGCATTTGACACACCTCAGTTTTGTTTTACTTGTCTCAAATATACCACTCAGTTCCTTAGCCAAAAGGCTTAAGAGTAAAGACCTTTTACTTAGTTTTTCTGTGTCATCAAGGTAACTCATTTAATCTTTGCAATAGACGTTACTGGGAATGGTTGTATGCATATATACCATTTGTTGCTGAGACTACTAGCATGCATAAACATGACTCCTCCATGGTATGGTTAAGGGGAAGATTCTTATTGTAGATAGAACAGCCAGAGACATCTGGAAGAGTCCAGAGAAAGAGACTGAACATGGCCAGCAAACTGGACCAGGCCAGGGTCTGTGAGAGGCAGAGAGAAAAGAGCCAGAATGGCAGGGCTATAAGAAGAATGAGCATCGAGGAGCCCTTGAGCTGGAGGGAGTTTAGGGTGTGGTGGGAGGTGAGGAGTGCCAGGATGCTGAGCCTGGAATCTAACAGGTACTTGAGACAGGAACTCGGAGGCCAGCATGTACTTGGATATGCTGACATACACCACAGGTAAGCTATTTGTCCCTTCTGTCAAAGATGAGGGGAAATAGTTTTTTTGGTAGAAAAGAACCAGGAACCACAAGTTCCTGAGGAATGCTGGCTTTTATCTAAACTGCCAGAAATCCTTGTAGTCTAGGTTGAGCCCATTTCTGAATATTTGGTCTGCTTTTTTGAGTTTGGGAAATTGGAGCTTCCTTTGGATAAGACTGTGCATCACCATGTCTGACTAAATGATATTATTTTTAAAAGGAAAATAATTTAGTTCCAAGTATGACCATATCTGATTTCAAGTTATATTAGAGTCAAGTTATATATACACACGACAAAAGTAGCATAGTACAAAAACAGAAATGTGGGTAAATGGAACAAAAAGAACCAACCTGTGATTAACAAAGATGCCAAAATTCTGGAGAATGTTAAAACCCAGACGCCCCAGGTACAGTCTGTGTCCAGAGCTGCTGCAAACATCGACCCTCCCTGCTTTCACAAATATCCAAGTACTTTTATGCCTCACCTCCATTCCTGGGAATGGCCCCTTTCAGAGAACAAAACCATAAACAGAACTACAGGCAGGACAAGAGACGGTCCTATCATACTAAGCCCATTGTTCTTCCTGATGTACCTGAAATATACTTGAGAACTTCAAACATTTGCCTCAGCCAGAAATACAGAAAACAAAATATCTTAGCCTAGTTAGAAGATGGATGTCACCCAACCTTGGCCCCATTTGCTGTGGCACAACACATGCCCTTCCCCTTTCCCTCAGAGGACAGGTTCTGTTTTAAAGAGCAGGTTCTGTTACCCTAAGCTTTTTGCTTCTGATCGAACAATTTTATCTGAAACTTTTCCCTGAAGAACAGTCCAACTTCATGTTTCTTTGGAACCCTGTGTCTTCCTAAACACCTAACAGAGAAAAGTCAGCCTCTTTAACAGATGGTTCTGAAAGTTCTGGTTCCTAAACACCTAACAGAGAAAAGTCAGCCTCTTTAACAGATGGTTCTGAAAAAACTGGTTACCAGCTGCCATTCTGGTTTGCTTTCTGTTGCTATGACAAACACTATGACCCAAAGCCACTTAGGAGAAGGGGGTTTTTTCCAGTTTCCAGCCCATCACTGAGGGAAGTCAGACAGAACTCAAGGAGGAGCTGAAGCAGAAACTGGTGGAATGCCATTTGCTGGCTCATGCTTAGCTACCTCAGGCTCTTCTATGACCTGAGACCACCTGCCTATTGGATGGGGCAACTCACTGTGGGCTGAGCCCACCTACATCAGTTAACAATCATGACAGTCCTGCTTGCACACAGGCCAGTCTGGTCCAGACAATACATCATTTGCCGTTCATTCTCAGGTCATTCTAGCTTATGCCAAGTTGACACTGAAAGCTAACCAAAGCACCTAAGAGTAGAAGAGTGACATGAGATCTTTATCTGGTCCTGCACAAAACTGAACTCTAAATAGATCAAGAACCGTGATGTAAACCCTGAACCCTCTGAAACGGCTAGAAGTGGAGAAGATGCTTCAAGGTGGAGGGGCAGGAGGAAAGGAGATGAAACCAGCAAAGGAGACCGTTAACTTTGCCAAGAGACCAGAGTAGAACTCTGCCAGTTACATCTGACAGGACCTATGTCTAGAATATACAAAGAACTTAAAATCTAAACTCTAAGCAAAAAACCCAATTAAGAGAAAAAAAAAAAAAGGGATAAAAACCTGAACAGATAGTTTGTAAAAGAAGAAATACAGCCGAGTGGTGGTGGCACACTCATTTGATTCCAACACTTGAGAGGCAGAGGCAGATCTCTGAGTTAGAGGCCAGCATGGTCTACAGACTGAGTTCCAGGACAGTCAGGGCTACACAGAGAAACCCTGTCTCAAAAAACCAAACCAAAAAGGGAGGGAGGGAGGGAGGGAGGGAGGGAGGGAGGGAGGGAGGGAGGGAGGGAGGGAGGGAGGGAGGGAGGCAGGCAAATACAAATAGCCATAAATATTTGGGGGGTTGCTTGGTTGGGTTTTTTGTTTGGTTGGTTGATTGGTTGGTTGGTTGGTTGGTTTTTTTATTTGGTTTGGTTTGGTTTTTTGAGACAGGGTCTCACCATGTAGCCTAGGCTGTCCCGGAACTCACTGTGTGGACCAGGCTGACTTTCAACTCACAGAAATCCACCTGCCTCTACCTCTGGAGTGTTGGGATTAAAAGTGAATGTCACCATGGCCAGACAATAAATATTTTTTAAAACAGTCAACTTTCCTAGCTATTAGGGAATGCAAATTAAAAATACTATGAGATTCCATCTCACCCCAGTCAGACTGGTTACCATTAAGAAAACAAAAATTCAGATGTAGTAATGCATGCTTTTAGTCCCATCACTCAAGAGGCAAAGAAAGGTGGAGTTCAGAATTAGTTGGGTCTACATAGTGAGTTCCAGGCCAAAATAAGAAGGTATGTATACTATTTATATTCTTTTTTTTAATTTATTAGTTCAAATTAGAAACAAGTCTGCTTCACATGTCAAACCCCAAACCCCTCTCCCTCCCCTCCTCCCCCCACCAAGCCCCCACCCCATCACCCCTCTGCTCCCCAAGAAGGGCAAGGCCCTCCATGGGGGATCCCCAAAGTCTGTCATATCGTCCGGGGGGAAGGACCTAGGCCCTCCCCCACGTGTCCAGGCTGAGAGCATCCCTCCACATGGGATGGGCTCCCAAACTCCTTGCCTACGCCAGGGATAAATACTAAGTCTACTACCAGAGGCCCCATAGAGTGCCGAGGCCTCCTCACTGACATCCATGTTCAGGGGTCTGGATCAGTCCCTTGCTGGCCTCCCAGCCATCAGTCTGACTATATTACAATGTTTTATAAATGTATATATAAAATATGTATTATGAACAATTGTTATCGGTAGCCAAGACCCAGGCCAGGCTTTCCATGTACTTTGTATTCAAAGAACTGAAAGTAAGGAATCAATCGGAGTTTTTTGTCAGGTAGCAGGGGATCTCACTATGTATTCAAGAGTGGCTTTGAACTTATTATGTAGACCAGACTATCCTTGAACTCATCAGGATCTACCTGCCTCTGCCTCCTCTAAGTGCTGGGGTTAAAGGTGTGTATACCCAGCTATCACACAGATTTTTAAAAGAAGCAAGACAACTTTATTGAAGGCTACAGGAGAGTACAGATTATGTAGAGGGATACAGGGTCCAGACTGACATCAAGTCACATAAAGTGAGAGCACTCAAAGGGCCTGAGTATTGTTTGTGGCTTCCTTGTATGGGGTTCAAGAGGCAGGGGCCATTACTAAGGGGTGTAGTAAGGGTGACTGGGTGTTATATTAATTTTCCTACTGCATAATACATTTGATTTTAATTGGATTAGAAACATGTCAAGTTATGCCCAGACATAAAATGGCAAATAGGGGATTCTCCTTAAAAGGTTATTTGAGGACATTGCTTCATACACACGGTGGTTCAAAAGGAAAATGTCC